CTAGTCCCCAGCCCCAGGCAGAGCCAGCCCCTCCATCCTCTGGGCTCCCTAAGCCTCTGGTCCATCCCTCCAGGATGACTTCCACGTCTCTGTGCCAATTCAGAACCACGCGCAGGTCCCTCAGAAGAAAGAGCTGGAGATCTGCTCCGACACACACAGCTACAACAAGAGTCGGGAGCAACGTGATACGCGATGGTTTGGTTTTGCTTTTCTTCTTTTAATCTTTGGTCATTAACCCCTTTCCAACTGCCATCATTTCCACGGGAGCATTTTCTTTTCTTTTTAAATAAATCATTTTGGGGCAGGGGGCTTGTACAACTCTTATCACAATCCATACATATATCCGTTGTGTCAAGCACATTTGTACATATGTTGTCACCATCATCCTTCTCAAAACATGTTCTTTCTACTTGAGCCCTTGGTATCAGCTGCTCATTTTCCCCCCTCCCTCCCCTCCTCCCCTCAAGACCCTTGATAATTTATAAATTATTATTATTTTTTCATGTCTTACATTGTCCAATGTCTCCCTTCACCCACTTTTACAAAGTTATATGTAGATCCTTCTGATTGGTTCCCCTTTACTACCCCACCTTCCCTTTACCATCCTGGTATCGCTACTCTCATTATTGGTCGTGAGGGGTTTATCTGTCCTGGATTCCCTGTGTTTCCAGCTCTTATCTGTACCAGTGTACATCCTCTGGTCTAGAAAGATTTGTAAGGTAGAATTGGGATCATGATGGGGGGGGGGGAAGAGAAGAAGCATTAAAGAACTAGAGAAAAGTTGTATGTTTCATCATTGCTATACTGCACCCTGACTGGCCCGTCTCCTCCCCAAGACCCTTCTGTAAGGGGATGTCCTACAGATGGGCTTTGGGTCTCCACTCCATACTCCCCCTCATTCACAATATGATTTCTTGTTCTTTGATGCCTGATACCTGATCCCTTCGACACCTCGTGATCACACAGGCTGGTGTGCTTCTTCCATGTGGGCTTTGTTGCTTCTGAGCTAGATGGTTGCTTGTTTACCTTCAAGTCCTTATGACCCTAGATCAGGAGTCCTCAAACTACAGCCCACGGGCCACATGCCGCCCACCGAGGACATTTATCCGGCCTGCCGGTGTTTTTGCCCCATTTTTTTTTTTTTTTACTGCAAAATAAGATATGTGCAGTGTGCATAGGAATTTGTTCATATATATATTTTTAAACTATAGTCTGGCCCTCTAACGGGTCTGAAGGACAGTGAACTGGCGCCCTGTTTAAAAAGTTTGAGGACCCCTGCCCTAGATGCTATATCTTTTGATAACTGGGTTCCAGCAGCTTTCTTCACCACATTTGCTTATGGACCCATTTGTCTTCAGCGATCATGTTGGGAAGGTGAGAGTCATGGAATGCCAGTTTAATAGAACAAAGTCTTCTTGCATTGAGGGAGTACTTGAGTGGAGGCCTTATGACCATCTGCTACCTTAATACTAAACCTATAAATATATACATATAGCTCTATTTCCCCATCCTCATATATAAATATATTTGCATATGTACATGCCTGTATTTAGACCTCTATAAATGCCCTTTGCCTCCTAGCTATTTCCTCTATTTTCTTTTCCTTTCCTCTTGTCCCACCATCATGTTCAGTCTTCATTTGTGTTTCAGTAATTCCTCTCGGTTACATTGCCCTTGATCACGTCCTACACCTCCTACACCCTCCTCACCAGCGATTTGGATCACTCGTTGTTCCCTTGTCCCTGGTTTGTTAACACAGCTTCCATTCCCCGACCTCCCCCTCTCCCATGTCCCCCCGGAACCTTCGGTCCCGTTATTTTCTCCTACAGATTGTTCATGAAGTCTATCTTATTTAGACAGACCTCGTCCAACTATTATGCTCAGCCTTCACGTGGGTTTCAGCAATTCTTCTTGGTTACATTGTCCTGGATCAAGCACTGCCAGGCCTCCCGCACCCTCCTCGCCATTGACTTTGGATCTGGGAAGATTTTCATGAAGATTTCGCCTCAACAAAGGAGACCTCACACAGTACTAGCTGTCCCCACCCCTGCAACACTGCGCGCACACACTCTCTCAATAATGCTCACAGAACTGAACTTGGCAGGTCGCAGCAGGTTTGCGAAGATTTTCCAGGTGGAAGACATGCTGGCTGGGGCCTTCTCAGGCAAGGAAGGCAAGGACACCTTTTCCCTGCCTGGGAACTCCCGTGGCTCTCAGCGGGTCAGTCAGCCCTTGAGTGGCCCTCCAGAAGGGAAGGGTCTCCACAAAATGGGTACAATCCTAACACGTGGGCCCTTTAAGCTCCTTTTCTCAATTACATTCATTCATGGGAACCCTCAACAAAAGCCACGCATTTCCAGCCTTCCCGAGTGGGGCTGAGTTCCCAGAGGATTCTGCCGGCTTCAGCAGATACATTCCCACATGCTCACAACTCTCCTGGATGGACGGCTTCCGGGATGAGCACACCACCCATCTCGGGCATAGAAGATTAACCAAAACCACAGTTGATGAGAGTTTGCTAAACCATTGGCGGTATTACCCAGCTCTGGGGTCTTTTGCTGTGAAACCTGAACATGAGACAGAATTTTTGAAATCCCAGAAGGGGTAAGCTCCAGGGCAGCCCATGCCCTCAACCCCCCCACCAGGATCTGAGGCAACGTGGGGTTTCAACCGTTCCATCCTCCTCGTGCCCCCCTCTGAGATATGTGCCATGATGGCCTCTCTCTGCTTTGAGGAGGGAACTGAGGCTCTGTGAGGGGTGGGGGTGGGAATTAGCCCAGCCTGGCCTATCTCAAAGCACTCCTGCTGCCCATCAAGGCTGGCCCCCGCCTCTGCAGGTGTTCCCAAGAAGCATTGGGCCTCCTCCCACAGCAGTCACTTTGAGGCACCTGACGCAGGTGAGATTCAGCCCTGATGTCTCCCCAGACGGCGTTTAAACACGGGTGCTTCGTGAGACCTGCGTGAGAAAGGCTGACTGTCCGTGACTCCCCACCCCAACCCAGAGTGGTCCAGCACAAGTGCTGCTCTGTGCCCCGGTTCTGCAAACCCAGCCCGATGCTGGTGGGACAGGCATCTTCGCCCACAGCCGCTGCCTGGGAGCTGCCCAATTACACCTCACAGTGTCATTACCCACTCTTGTGCGCGGAGAGCCTCGGACCTTGCTGCTGGCGCATCCTAGCCTTGTTCGAGGAAATAATTACGGGGCTCTTTCCTCTGCCAAATGAGGCTGTAATTAACCCCAACTGCTCGAAATGCAACTGGCTAATTCTGAGAGATTAATCAAGGGGGATTCAATTGTTAGTGAATGACTTAATATGACAAATTGCTACATTACCTGAGCAGGCCCCACTGCCCCCAGCCATCAGCTCAAAGTTCTAGCGGACTCTGGACCAAGTGTCTGCCGGCTTCGGACCTGCCTTCCCAAATTCCATCTAGCAAACCGGCCTTGCCTCCTGGCCAGGAATGTGAATAGGCTAGGAATAGCGTAAGTGTCTGAGAGCCCCCCATGAACTCGTGTGAGCATTAACACGTGTACACACACACACACCATGTTCACCAGCTCATATGGATAGTGTCCTGGTGTGAATCAGGGAAGCCCCCTTCCCTTGTGCTGTGCCTTCTCTGCCCCACAAGGGTGGCTTGGTGCGAATGTCAAAGGGATTCAAATCCATCTGCTTCCTGGACCAGGCATCGTTGTGCAGCGCATCATCTGTGAGAATGACATGGCAGTCCTGCTCAAACATGTTTAATGTCACGCAACCTGGAATCCTCCCAACAGGAATGAAGAAGTTAAAAGCATATCAAGCCTTCCATGGTCCAGGAAGCCAGGCTCCCTGAGTCTTCTCCCACCTCAGAATTCAAAGCTCTGAGACAAAAAGCCCACCCGGGACAATTCCTTGTCATACCATCCAGGCTGAGCGGGCCTATCACATCCTGCAGGATCTGGCCCCGGCTGACCTCCCAGCCCAGCTCTCTGGCTCCTCGAGGTCTTTGCATGCCGATTCCTCCAGGAAGCCTGCTCGGCTCACCTATCTGGGTTGGTGTCCTCTGTGGCTCAACAGATCCCTGAACTACTTCTTCTGCCCGAGTGCTTATCTTTCTCCCAGGAGGCCGTGTGCTCCCAGGAAGGTGCTCTGCCCGTACCCCAGTTTCTTTAGTTTTGCAAGTTTTCAGGGACTCCCTCGGTGTCTGGCACAGGACCCACCCCAGAGGAGTTCTCTTGTCTGCAAAGGAAGACCAGCCAGGAATGAAAGCCCCACGTAGTGCGATCATGACCACTGACCAGGTACACACAGGTGTGCCAGCACACACGTGGGTTCTCAACTGGCAGGGAGTGGGCGTGTGGCAGGAAGACTCCCCACAGCAGTGGCATTTGCATGGAGACTTGGAAGGGAAGTGGGGGGTGTCCAGGTCTAAGGAACAGCAGATAGGAAAGCACGGAAGCCCGTGGAAAGTGGCTCAGAAACCCAGATGGCACCTTCAGCAAAGCTGCCCAGGGCTGCCCGGCCGGCTCTCCGAGGGCCACGAGAGGCAAGGCAGGCACGGCTGTCAGTCTTCCCCTGCCTGGCAAAGAGGCTGAACCCCAAGGGGGAGGACTTGATCTCAAGTAAAGACTTTTCTGGCATTGAATATGCCCTAACCCTATTATCTGTCTTTCCCCATTCCCTTCCTCTGTCCTTTGGTTGCCTAGAGCCTCCACACCCCCACACCCCCCAGTCTATAACCCTCTAAGCAGGACTGATCCCTGCTGAAATAGATAAAGCCTGTCTGTTCACATGGAAATGCTCTGGCCTGTGATGGCACAGAGGAGGCTTCTTAGAGTGTTGCTGAATTAAGTGAAGTCACTCGATGAGGTAATGAGCTCCCTGTCATTGGAAGCATTCGAGAAAGAGCTTTGTCAGGGAGCTTTCAAGGGAATAGGAGTCTATAGAAAGCAGGCTCGGGTACTTGTGCTCCTTAGAAATTCTTCAGCACACTGCAGACGAAGGAGCAAGGCTCACCTGTGGGTTGGGGGTGTGTGCAGGTCCCGGGCTGTGGCAGAGGTTGTTTGGGTTCCCTCCATGGGGCATGGGGCTGGGCTGTCCTGCCATCCTGCATGCCAGCTCACAGGAGCACAGGCTGCAAAAGAGAATGAGAGTGGTCTGGCTTTTTCATTTGAACAGTTTTATTGACACACAATTCATCTATCATACGCTTTACTGGTTTAAACGTATTAAGAAGAGTTGTGCAATCATCACCACAATCACTCTTAGAGCATTTTCTTTCTTGTACTCATTCTTAGCTCCCCTTTCCCCCCAACCTCCCTGCCCCGCCCTTAAGAAGCCATTAATCCAGTTACTGTCCCTATAAGATTGAGAATGATCTTATGCACACGCTGATTCATTTTCTTGAAGGGCTTTCATGCACCACACTTACAGATAGGCAAGCTAAGGTACAGGAGAGCCAAGTAACTTGCCCACAGACACCCAGCTCAAAAGTGGCAAGGCTAGAACTTGAACCCAGCCGGATGCTAAAGGTGGTAATCTTTCACCCTGCCTCCCAGCCAGAGGGAGCACCCCTCCATCCCAAGACTCTCCCAGCTGGGGGTTGGTTGAAGGTAGGGCCAAATGGGGCAATAGCTTTGGGATCACTGCTGTAGGCCACAGCCCAGCTGCTGCTGGTTCTCTGGCCCCTCTGACCATGGCTGTCACCCTCAACAGTATGGCGTGGAGCTGCAGTGTGCCAGGAGCACCGTTAACTCGGTTCAGCCTCACAGCCAGCTAGGGGACAGTGCTGTGTTCTACTGACTTTACAGGTGAGGACACCTAGGCACAGAGAGGTTAGGTGACCTGCCTGCACTCACTCCAGCAAGCTGGCCCGATAGTCTGTGCTTTTAACCACCCCACCACAGCTGTGGTGTTTACTGAACACCTGCTGGATACCAGCACAGGCTTCACCCCCAGGAGGAGGTAAATGCCCGTTATGGTGCACCAAGGCTATTCATGCCCTACTTCCTGGAGCCTGTGAATCTGCTAGCTTCTAAGGTCCAGGGGGACGAGGGTGGCAGATGGAATGAAGGCTGCCAACTGGCTGACCTTAGAATAGGGAGATGACCCTGGATTGATCAGGGCAGGTCCACTATCATAAAAGTGGAAGAGGGGGACAGGAGAGGAGGCCAGTGGGATGGGATGTGCAGATGACTTGCTGTGCCATTGCTGGATTTAAACAGGGAGGACAGGCCACAAGCCAAAGGATGCAAGCAGCTTCTATAGCTGGAAAAGTCAAGGAAACTAGAGCCTCCCCAAAGCAACACTGATCCTTGGACACCTTGATTTTAGCCCAGTGACACGTGGTGGACCTCTAACCTCTAGAACTATAATAAAAATAATAAATACATGTTTGAAACCATTGAGTTGGTGCTGGCTTGCTGGATGTGCCTCCTCATGTGCCAGACTACAAATCCTTTCTCTTCCACCACCCAATCCTCACTTGTCCTGAGGGGACTTGCCTCTCCCTGTGCCCTGTCACCAGTGCTCCCTGTGCCCCCACCCCTCCCACAGAGGCAGACCTGATGGTGGCTAGGAGACAGACCTTGAGTCAGACTGCATGCAGCAGCTGCAGGAAGGGTCCCATGTCCTGACCCTGTCCCAGTGACCCTTCCAGGCCAGGGCCCCTGCGCCCAAGGCCCCAGAGAGCCGAGGAGATGAGAGCTACAGCATCTAAGCATCAACCCCATCGTAGTCTGCTGCGGCATGAAAGGGCGGAGCTGGGCAAGTGCCAGGTACCACGTGGGGCCCCGAGAACCCCAGTGACTCCACCTGGATGTCTGGAAGGCACCTCTCATGTCGGCCTCTGCTGCAGAACCCTACCCGGGACTGCCAGCTCGGGTTGGGAGCAGCGTCGTCTGGACTCCCCGGAGAGCTGGGAGTCAGAAGTATCAGAGAACTGGTGTCCCCTGCTTTGGTCCTCAACTCCGGTGTCCCATGCACACAGAACCAAGCGCTGCCCCGCACTGCGCCATCCTCACAGCGGGTGGTGGAATGCGTGGTGTGGGCCAGCGGCGATAGCTATGCCCATCCTCCAAAGGAGCCACTGGGTCTCCATGGATTGGTGTTTCTGAACGAGATTGCCAGCCCTCTCTTCCTGATCCGTCTCAGCCTGAAGGCCCCCTGAGCCCAGTTCAGCATCACACGCCTCCCGGCTGACCACTGCTGGCTATGCACGCGGCGTGTTCCAGGGAATTGAACCTGGTCTCTGAGACCCTTGGCCTCCACAGCGATGCCTCGGAGACGCCAGGCCTCACAGGACTTGCATGCAAGCCGCCAGGGGCTTCTTGTTCTCATGCGCATGAGGCAGGGCCAGCTCCACTCTCACCAGCTGTTTCAGGGTGAACACAGCATGAATGGTGGGGAGCGAGGCTACTTGGGGGGGCAGACGCCACAGAAGCCTCAGTGCAGGGCGGCCAGCTGGTGAGGGTCAGCCGTGTAACTGCCCTGGAGAGGCTGCACGAGTCCTTTGAAATTGCCCAAACACACCCAGTGTGGACCCACAGATGAGGCAAACACTGATGACAAGGCACCCAGGTGGTGCAGCGGGTTAAGTGTTGGGCTTCTAACCAGAAGGTCAGTGGTTCAAGCCTGCCAGCCATGCGGAGGGAGGGAGCCAGGCAGTTTGCTGCGGTCAAGATTTCCAGCCATGGAAACGCTCCGGGCCGCTGACTGCCAGGGCCACTGGCTATGAGTCAGAGGAGCCGATGGTGGGCTGACGTCAGTAGACATGTCTGTAGCTCTCTAGCTCACTCTGGGAGTGCATTTCCCTGAAGGAAACCAGGCAGAGCTAGGGTGTTCTCTCAAGCCAGTGGAGGGGCTGAAGGGGCTGCGGCTCACAGGCAGGCACACCCCCCCTCCGGCTGGGCGCAGGCCTTGCCCCACACTGCATGGCCTGGACTCTCACCGCCCAGCCCTCCTCCTCCTTGGGGGGCCACGGAGGCCACCTTTCTGACTTGCAGATGGGCCATGGCCTCCTTCCACGTACCCCAGCATCTGTGGCTGTGATTGTGTGTTGAGACGCACCCCACCCCGGGCTGACACAGCAGAGGACCTGGGATACAAAAAGCTCCCCAAGATAAACAGACCCAGAGCTGCTTCCTGAGGCATGCGCTGCTCTTCAGGGGGAAATGTGTACACGACAGACCAGAAACGAGAGGAAGCTGAATGTAAAATGGGCATGCATTTTAAGATAAAACCAGAGATTCCTGCAGGCTCTGGAGCTGCTTCAGGCTGTACCCCCAGACCCCTCAGGGTGACATGTTCAGCGTCCTCTGCCCTTAGGGAGACCTCCAGGGAAAGGGGGGAGAGCTGTCTTCAGCAGAAAGATTCCATCTTTATCTGGAAGCTACCAGACTGGGCCCACAGGCCTCAGAAGGCGGTCCTCCCGGGCTCACCGGCTCACCTGTCCGAGCAGCTCACAGGAACCACGCGTGTCTGACTCGCTTCCCCTGTCCCCACCTCCAAGTCCCAAGGGGTGTGTGACCAGTGGGCTTGGATTTGAATCTGGACCCTGTCACTCACCAGCTGGGGCCATGGGCAAGTCTCAGTGGGCAAGGACCTCGAGGGGTTTACAAAGGTGCTTCCCCACCATCCCCATGTGGCATTAAAGGGGCCCTCCAACACCTGTGCCCAGAGATAATAGTCAGCACAACTCAACAACTCACCCAGGATAATACTAGTTAACAATCATCAAGCCTTTATCATGCCAGGCCCTGCTCTAACGACTCCATTTCTATTAGCCGACTCTATTCTAATTCCACTATCATGAGATGGGGCCTATTTTTGCCCCCACCCCCGAATTTTTATAGGTGAGGAAACAGACACAGGGAGGCTAAGAGATTTACCTAGGCGACCTGGAGGAGATCTTCCCATCCATCCTTGGTAGTCCCATTCTACAGACAAGGAAACTGAGGTTTGGAGACCAGAGACTCAATGCCGGGTAGCTAGTAAGCTACAGAGGGGGACCCGAACCCAGATCCACTACCTCCAAAGTCCTTACTCTTTCCAACATAGCCATTGCCTCTTGGGGAGCTCCCAGGTGTTGAGTTTTAGGGTCTCCGCATTCTTCTCTGTGTCCCATCCCAAACTCACAATCCAACCACGAAAAGCCCTGCCACGAACTGCTTCTCAGGGGCTTCTGATCTAGAAGTGACCTGGAGGGCAGGCTGCAGACACCTGCGGGCAGATAGCTCTGCATAACCTGGGGAGCTGCTTGACACCCGGACCCTTTGGCTCCCCCCAAGTTGCAGAACAATGGGGTGGCAACTGCCAGGCTCAAGCCAGGTCCCCAAATCCATGGAACGCAAGATCTGGAGCCACAGACACATGGAGCGCCGTCTCAAAGAGGCTTTTCTTCAGGATAGAAGAGGCCCTGAGTCCTCAAGGCCCTGGGTCAGGGGAAGGCTCAGGCGGGTGATGGCCAGGTGGTCCATGGAGGTGTGCTCTCACACTAGGGCACACACAGTGTCTGTGCCCAGCCCACCTTAGTCCAAACCCCTGCCACTGTCTGCGTGCGTAACTGTGCAACCGTGTGTGTCTGTGTGTACACAGGCTGTGCATACAAGCTTGTGTGTATCCGTGCGTGCATCCATGGGCACGCACAATCAGGGTTCCCTTGATGTCCACAAGGCTTGGAGCCTGGGCGCACTCTCGGCTGGTCCACTGATGCTGGGGTGTCACTGCCCCTTGGCAGGCAGGGTGGCAGAGGTCAGTGAGGCTGCTGGGCGCGCTGGTTCTGTGAAGGCCTTGGGAGGATCACACAGCTGGCCTGGGCAGCTCAGCTCCAACCAGACACACTGCCCCAGTGGCTTCTTTGGAAAAGAAAGGAGCCTTCCTAGTTGCCCCAACAGAACGAATAGCTGCACATGGTATTTTCCCAAAGAAGGAACTTCTCATTCCCCGGCTTCACATCCCTCCATACTAAAGGGTTCTAACCTCTGGGAAGGCATCGGCATTTTCCATTCTTATGTTTAGAACGGCTGAGCTGGCAGGCAGCGGGCCCCTCGGGTGGCTTCCTGCCCACAGCCGGCACCTTGACCCAGTCTGGAGTGGTGCCACAGGCCGGCTATGCCCAACAACCTCCAGGTGGAG